CTCAAAAAAAAAAAAAAAAAAAAAAAAGCCAGCAATGGCCAGATCTTGGAAGGTTTTTGAATTTTGAACTAGAGAGCTTACACTTTATGCTATGGTCATTGAACTATTGAAGGGTTTTAAGTGAGTGATGATTATTATAAGCCACTGGTTCTAGGAAACCTTCCACACACCTCTTAAGAATAAAACAAAGTGCTAGAAATCAAGAAAAGAGTGTTTCAAAGATGAGTAGCTTATTCCTAAGGGATCAAGGAAGACGAAGCCTACAAAATGTTTTTTGAATTCAGTAACACAGAGGTTATTAGTAATCTAAATAAAAGCTATTCAGTGAAATGATAAGGTTAAAAAGTAGATTATAATAGTTTGGAGAGGGGGAAGAGGAAGAAATGGGGACAGATAGCAGAATACTTTTGGAAAATGTGGTCTTGAAAGGGAGAAAGGAGAGAAGATCATAAAAGGTCCAAATGGGGGTGGTGGTGGTGCTATTGTTGGATTTTTGTTGCAATTAAGACAGGAGAAACTTGAACATGATACAGAAGATCCAACTGAAATGGTTGAACAAAAAAAGGAAAGGGATAGTCAGGAAGTAAAGATCTTGAAAGGTAAGAATAGATGCTATGCAAAGCGCTGGCAGGTATGGTCTTAGAAGAGGAGAGGGTGGGAGAAGGAGGAGATACATCCTCAATCATAAGTTAAGTTTGTGTGTTTAGTTAAGTAACAGGAGTTTACATTTTCACTTGATGACCTGTTTTCTCTGTGAAGTAGATGAAAAGGATATGGTATTGGGAATTTTAAGGAAAGTTGAGAAGATTTGGAATACTGTTGTAGAACATGTTGACCAAAGACAAGTAGTAGGACTGGTAAGCAGTATTGAGGGCCTGTTTAAGACTGGTAAAAATGAACTACTAGTTTCTGCCCTTCTGTCTACTTTTCTCAAGTAGAGAAAATGTATGGCAAGTTCATTTAGGGTTGAGATAGTCACTGATATAATGCTAAGTTTCTTTTTCTTTCTTTCTTTTTTTTTGAGATGGATTCTCACTATTTGTCATCCTTGGTAGAGTGCTGTGGCGTCACAACTCATACTAACCTCAAACTCCTGGGCTGAAGCGATTCTCTTGCCTCAGCCTCCCAAGTAGCTGGGACTACAGGTGCCCACCACAACACACAGCCATTTTTTATTGTAGTTGTCATTGTTGTTCAGCTGGCCCAGGCCAGGTTCAAACCTGCCAGCCTCAGAGTATGTGGCTGGCACCATAACCACTGTGCTGCAGGTCAGGTGCCGAGCCAATGCCAAGTTTCTTTTCTTTCTTTTTTTTTTTTTTTTTGCTTTGCAGTTTTTGGCTAGGCTGGGTTTGAACGTGCCACCTATGGCATATGGGACTGGTGCCCTACCCCTTTGAGCCACAGGTACAGCCCCCAATGCCAAATTTCATAATTGGGGACAACTTTGCCCTCCAAGGGACATTTGGTAATGTTTGGAGATGGCATGGTTTTGATTATTGTAATGGTGAGGGGGTACCACTGGCATCTACGGCACAGGGATGCTGCTAAACATCTTACATCTTACAACAGGACAGCCTCTGACAACAGAGAGTTATCTGCTCCAAAATGTCAATACTTCCAATATTGAGAAAATTTGATCTAGGGTTACTTCATGCTCACCGGTATCTGACCTTGAGGTCTTCTATGACTTTTCCTTGGACTATGGCCCTGAGCTTATAGAGTAAAGCAGTTCTTTAATTGCATGCCTTAAAGGAGGTAGAATGAACAGCATACTGCAGGCCTTGAGTGTTTCAAGGACTTGTGATGTCATAAATATGGAATTGGAAGATGTCTTAAACCTCTAGAAGCAAATCTGGATTTACACATAAATGGAGGTAGCTACTTTGAGGTCTTATTAAACAGAAATGTTATAATTTCAATAATGTAGGAGAAGTAACACTTCACATCATTATCTAAACTTAATATAACTTCATTTATCTGACAAGTTTTAGTCAATAAAATAAGATCCTGAAGGATTAAGCATGAGCTAAATTTAATGACAAATATAACAGTACTTTTAAGTATGAGTAAGAATATAATCATTGGTAATTGATGGTACGTGATACGGCTGCTCTGTGATAGGTATCACTCATGGATAGGTATTTGTCCTATGTTATCTCAGTCCTGGCAACATCCTGTGAACTATTACGGTAATTTTAACTCAGGATACTAAGGTTCCAAGAAAACTTGTAAATTGGCCCAAGTCACAAATTACTACTAGTTAGAAGAAGATTTGTTCTAAAGCTCTTGCACCTTCCACTACAAGTTTTAGGAGGAAGGAGTGATTTGAAGATTCAGCTGAAACAGCTGCCACTGCCTAAAGGGAATGGGGGGGCATCTAGGAAGAGAGTAGGAGCCAGAGAGAGGCCCGGAAAGAGCATGGAGGGAGTGAAAAAAGGGCCAAGAGAGGCTTAGTCACAGCGTCCAATGCAGCAGACTGACTCTCCCGCCCTTTGGTCCGCCTTTGTTCTTTTACTTTCTTTTTGAGTACAGCTTTTCCCCCTGTGTCTGTTGTTCACTCACTGGTGTTCAAATAAAGCTAGAATATTGAGAAAGGCGGACCGCAAAGGGCGGGGGTGGGGGTGGGGAAAGGGAGCGTGACGGCGTCGAGTGCGCCTGCGTGCTGGCGGCGGCGGCGGCGGCGGCGGCGGTGGTGCCCGGCGGGGAGTGGGTCCGGAGCGGGCTCCCGGACCCGAAACGGAAGGGGCGTCTGGGGGCGTCGGGGAGCTCCCTCGCCTGGCCCTCGGCGGCCTGATGGAGTAAGAAGGGTCGGCTGTGAAGGTGAGTATCGAGGGCCCGGCCTGCGTTGAGCGTATCAGAGCCGGAGGGTCCTGGTGGTCTGTCCCTTCTGGAGGTTGTGGGGCTGCAAGACACGGCCGGATTTCTGCTCTGCAGGGTGCGGCTCCGGAGCAACCCAGTTGTTCCTCTCCCAGGGCCGGCGCGGGTTTATGGGCAGGTGGTGTTGCTGGCTGGGGTACGAATTTTCGCGGGGGCGTTCTAGCTCTGCTCCCAGGTCCAGAAGCAAATGTGCTCCAAAGTCTTGACCTTTATGAGAAGCCGCTGATTTCCTTTGGCCCCTAGTTGGGCAGGGAGCTCAAAGACCCTGCTGCTTAAAGGTTGTGGGTCTCAGGCCAGAAAACACCTTTCGGCCTGTGGTGTTTGACACCCTCCGATCTTTTTTCCTATTTTCGCCTTTTCTCCTTGTGGGATGCATCTAAATAATAGCAACTAATATTGGGGCTCTTCGTTTATGTTCATTTAATGTTTAGTCCGAATCTTGGTGCATAATTATGGAGAGGGAATGCTTTGCACCCTCCTCCTCTTGGGTCTGGTCAGTTCGGTTTAATCATCTTGGAGACTTAAGATTAAGCCACTTTGTTGGGAAGTTTGAGATTTGTGAGGCTTTTTCCAATTTGAGACTGCAAACCTAGTTAAGGGAAGTTCTCTTCCTTCCAAATGATTGCTTTGTCCACCATAATGTTTTAAATTGAGCATGTTCAGCTTATACTAGTACTATTGTAAATTGCATAGGAAATCTTAAAATTTAAATCTTAAGCCCTATTCTGAAGTTTGATAGTGAATGAAGCAATAGAAGATAATATTCAGATTCAACTAACACTTTATTTAGGACATGTACAAAATACACTCAGGTGTCAAAAAAAACCCTGAGATATTGTAATGGAAGGTAATTTATTATTATTTTTTTTTTTTGCAGTACGTTTCAGATGTGCTTACTGAGATTGTGGTGGTAATTTGCTTAAGCTAACTGCTAGGGTAAGAGTGAAAGTCACCTAAAAGGATGCGAAAGCTCATCTTTTTCCTGTTAAACCATATATTCTAAGCATTTCTACTGGGAAAGCAAACTGAATTGCAGCTACAATTTCTAGAGTTATCTCTTTTTCCTTTTTCTCAAGTTAACTTTTTTTTTTTCTGAGTCAGTGTCTCAACTCTGTCACCCTGGCATGACATCATCGTAGCTCAAGCATTCTTCCTGCCTCAGCCTCCCAGGTAGCTGGGACTACAGGAGCCCATCAAAACACCTGCCTAGTTTTTCTATTTGTGTTTATTTTATTTATTTATTTAGAGACAGAGTCTCAAGATGTCGCCCTGGGTAGAGTGCCATGGCATCACAGGTCACAGCAACCTCAAACTCTTGGGCTTAAGCGATTCTCTTGCCTCAGCCTCCCGAGTAGCTGGGGCTATTTTTTTGTTGCAGTTGTTTAGCTGGCCCAGGCTGGGTTCAAACCCGCCACCCTCCGTGCATGTGGCTGGTGCGGTAACCACTGTGCTACAGACACTGAGCTGGCTAGTTTTTCTTATTTTAGTAGAGATGGTGTCTCCCTCTTGCTCAGGTTGGTCTTAAACTCCAGGGCTCAAGGGATGCTCCCACCTCGGGCCTTCCAGAGTGCTAGGATTATAGGCTTGAGCCACCACACCTGGCCCTTCAGTAAACTTCTAAACAGAGACCACCAGAAAACATAGCTGGGTGTGGATCTAATGCCTAAATCCCACCCACTTGGAAGGCTAAGGAAGGAGGATTGCTTAAACCTAGGAGTTCAAGGTTACAATAAGTTATGTTCTGCACTCCACTGTGGGCAACAAAATAAGAACCTTTCTCTAAAAGAAAAACAAAAACACAGAAGATAAACACGTCTAACGCTTTTTTTCTTTTTGAGATACAGTCTTGCTATGTTGCTCAGGCTGGTCTTAGACTCCTGGACTCAGACGTCCTCCCACTGTACTTCTAATACTAACCATAGAAATAAATGTGAGCTATATATAAATTTAAGAAAGAGTAATAAAAACATGTAAGATAATTACTCAGGCTTTATTGAATCAGTGAGTGATGGCAGTTGTGGTGGTAGTGGGTTAAATCACAGAATAAATGTCTGCAAAGTTAAAATTGTAAAAAGAAGCTCCTACGACCACACAGTTCCAAAACAGTAACAGATACGGTAGGTGCTTAGCTACCACCTTGTTTTTGTGTATTTGTATGCTTATTGTATACTTTATATATTTCTATTTTACACTAATTTGTGTTCATTTTCCAAACTGCTAATTCCAGTTCGGGGTTAAGGGTGGCTGGAGCCTGTTGGGGCAGCTCACCTAGGACAAGACACTGTCATTCCATGGCACAGCACCCTCAGACACACACCCACACTCCCTCAGACTAGGAACATGTAGACATGTCACTTCCTCTACTAAGCACTTCTTTGAAATGTAGGACACCAGAATACCTAGGGAAACCCATGCAGACATGAGGACATGCGAATTCCACACAGATAGTGGCCTCAGCCAAGAATCAATTTGTTTCCTCATCAACATTAAAATGACATTGAACAAAACATTTAAGGACCTGATATACATTGTAGTATATAGCTAGATTGAGTTAATCAAAATGTATATTACCTTTTTTTTTTTTTTTGAGATAAGAGTCTCATTTTGTCACCCTGAGTAGAGTGCTATAGCAATCCTCTTTTTTTTTTAGAGACAGAGTCTCACTTTGTTGCACTTGGTAGAGTGCTGTGGTGTCACAGCTCACAGGAACCTCAAACTCTTGGGTTTAAGTGATTCTCTTGCCTCAGCCTTCCAAGGAGCTGGGACTACAGGTGCCCGTCACAATGCCCAGCTATTTTTTGGTTGTAGTTGTCATTGTTGTTTGGCAGGCCCGGTCTGGATTTGAACCTGCCAGCTTAGGGGTATGTGGCTGGTGCCTTAGCCACTTGAGCTACAGGTGTGAGCCTGTTTGTTTGTTTTTGAGACAGAGTCTCACTGTGTCATCCTCAGTAGAGTGCAGTGGTGTCACTGCTTACTGCAATCTCCAACTCTGGGGCTTAAGTGATTCTCTTGCTTTAGCCTCCCAAGTAGCTGGGACTACAGGTGCCCACCACAACATCTGGTTATTTTGTTGTTGTTGTAATTGTCATTGTTGATTGGCAGGCCTGGGCGGTGGTCGAACCCACTAGCCCTGGTGTGTGTGGCTGGTGCCCCAGTCGCAGAGCTACAGGGGCCGAGCCTGTTTGTTTGTTTTTTGAGAGAGTCTCACTATATCGTCCTTGGTAGAGTGCCATAGCATCACGGCTCACAGCAACCTCGGACTCTTGGGCTTAAGTGATTCTCTAGCCTCTGCCTCTCAAATAGCTGAGACTATAGGTGCTCGCCACAATGCCTGGCTGTTTTAGAGATGAGGTCTCACTCTGGCTCTGGCTAGTCTCAAACTGGTGAGCTCAGGCAGTCCAACTCCTTGACCTCCCAGAGTGCTAGATTATAGGTGTAAGCCACCTCACCTGGCCAGTTTTTCTACTGTTAGTAGAGACAGGGGTCTCTCTCTTGCTCTGGCTGGTCTTAAACTCCTGAGCTCAGGTGTTCCAACCACCTCAGCCTCCCAGAGTGCTAGGGTTATAGGTGTGAGCCACCATGCTCACAGTCAATAAGTTTTCTTTAATTTTTCTTTTTATTATAGTTTAATATATTATGTTGACTTTTTTATTTTTATTGAGACAGAGTCTTACTTTTTCCCCCTTGGTAGACTGCCATGGCGTCACAGCTCACAGTAACCTCAAATTCTTGGGTTTAAGCGATTCTCTTGTCTTAGCCTCCCAAGTAGTTGAGACTACAGGCACCCGCCACAGTGCCCAGCTATGTTTTTAGAGATGAGGTCTTGCCCTGGTTTAGGTTGGTCTCAAACTCATGAGCTCAGGCAATCTACCTACCTCAGCCTCCCAGAGTACTAGGATTACAGGTATGAACCACCATGCCCAGCCTTATATTGGCATTTAAATTTTTTTTTTTTTT